ATGGCGCCGTCATGGCGCCCGCGGGGCCCGGTGCAGGTCTCGGGGCCCGGTGTAGCGCTTGTAACGGGCGCGTCCGTGTGGGGAGCGCACGGATACGCTGCGCTGCGTTCTGGCTCCTCTTTGTTCGTTCGGGAAACGCGAGAGGATCCTGACAGGGCTTCGGCCCGGGGCCTGCCCGGCGGGCGTTGGGCGAGGCCCTGGGTAGGCCGCGGGGCCTAGCGCGGGGCCTGCGGCACCCCCTGGCCTCAGGCCGTGCAGTTTAATGGGTTTTTGCGCCTCGCTCCTTGCTTACACCCGAATGTTCGTTCTTTGTAAAGACGGTTTGTGTGGCGCTGGCCTCGTCGCGGAGCAGGTGCCTGTGAAATCCAGCTGCGGCGGCACCCCCTGTTTAATTGTCCCTTGGAGAGAGGAAGACAGCTTGTGCTGGGGCTATATTCAATTTCTGGGGGGTTGCCGTCACTGCGCAGCGATGAAAAGGGAGGAAGAGGAGGCTGCGAGGCGAGAGGCCGCTCGTCAGAGCCCGAGGAGGAGGAGGAGGAGGGAGGGGGTGGAGAGCGCGGTGACAATAGAGGGCACCCTCGGCCTTGCGCTGCGACAGATCCTCGGTCTTCAGCGTCGTTCTGGATTTAGAAAAGAAAAAGGAAGAAAAAGCCACGTGGCCTGGAGCCCGCCCGGTGCCATCAGGCCGATCGGCTCCCGGGGTGTTGAGGAGGGCGATGCCTGCCCGGCGTCGAGGTGTGCGCAGCCGGTAGCGCGCACCGCAGGCCTGGAGTATGCCCGGCTGCCAAGCGGCCCTTGGCGCCACGCAAACTTCTGCCGGAGACTCTGCTTTCCGAGAGTTTGGTCTACGCCCACAGAAGGTCAGTGGTTGTTTTGTCACCGAAATCGGGAGTGAAACTTCTTAACACCAATGCAGCATTAAAAGCAGGCATTCTTTATTACGGTGCCGGATGCACGGGGGATTGTTCCCATAACGTGTATGCTGTACGTTGTCTCATCCCGAGCTTATATCACCCTGCTACATAAATGTGCATTAAGTTTCCTGGAATGTTCATACATATTTATTCTATGTCCTGGAACTAATTATCATATTTCCATAGCCATTGCGCTTGCAGCCTGGGTCTCTGTGGGGCTTCCACAGGGTCCTCAGTGGTCTCTGGTGGTTGCTGGTGGCTGTAGAAGTGGTACTTCTTAGTGTCCTTTCCATCATCTCTGAGTCTTTCCTTCCACATACGGCCATGAGTTGGCTCACTTCTCAGGTTGTTTATCTTGGTGTCTGCTGGTTTATCTGCCCTTCTCTAGGATGTGCTAGTTATATGTCCTTGGGTGCATTCTTGCCTGAGGCCTCCGACAGTCATTCCTTTGTTTTCCGCTTAATCCCTGTGAAGTCCCGCACCACATACACACCGCATACCCTCCTGTACACCACATCATGTACCCTATTTCACAACAGTCTTTGCTATGGGGTCCTGGACTCTGTAGAAAGATTGAGTGGTTGTCCCTGGATTCGAGCATTGTCTGCAAGCCACTGCCCACCAAGCCTGTGCCGCAGCTGGCAGCACATGCCCAGCAAAGGTTCCCTTCCACAGAGACTGTGTTGAAAAAGGAGATTCAGTCCCAGCAGAGACAAGAAATCCTTCGTCTTCCTTTTTGCAAATATTGTAATGTAATTGGCCCTCCAGTGACACAGCAGCAGTGGATGATCTCTTTGCACTGCTGGAGTCACTGGAATGACACCCTTTGCTTTCCCTTTGCGCTTCATTTCTGTTTTTCTCCTTTTTCATGCATCTTTCCTCTAACTGTCCTATCTGTTGCTTTCCTTACATTACCCCCAGCCTGTACCTTTCTTTCTGTTTCCTCTGCTTGTGGCCTTCTCTGCATGATGATTTATGCAAATTTTGCATTTTTAAAGTACGAGAAGCCTACAGGAAAAGCCCTGCTGAGCTATTCGAAGTGGAAGTCCTTGGCATGGAAAAAACATTTTTTGGAAATAAGGGCAGCAACCATTTGCTATTAAGTAGCATTTTTCTCTGAAGATTTCAAAAGAGCTTTTATTAGCAGCACCTTATCACAGCCCATGGAGTGTCACCAAGGCAGTGTTGGAGGTGGGTCAGTTAGGGCTGTAATGGCTGAGGTTGCAAACTTAGCAGCTGGGTTCTAGGCCCTAAATATGACTAGTAAATTATAATCTTCTCCAACAGGGAAACACTGTGCCAAAAATATGTAGAGTCTTCCTGATCCAGTGCAAGGATTACTTCAATGAGCAGTTTTAGGGTTGTTATCCCAACGGGTCAATGTTTCCAAGGACCAGACAGATTTTGGAGGGTATTTTCATCAGACTGTGGTTTGGTGGGTTTTTTTTTTTCATCAGTCTAAGCCTGCTTTCAAGTGTTCACTGATGCATCATGTCCTAACAGGCTGCATATCACATTGTTCCAAGCAATAAAAGCAAAACCTATTGGCACCTGGACGACTCAGGAGTTCCCTTCATTATCCAGGGCAGACCCAGGGACCCTGTGTTTCAAAGCCATTCTGACAGCCAAGTGATTTAATATGCTACTGTAAGATATAAATTATTAACAGCTATTCAAGATGTTCCCAGAGCACAAGATGACAAAAACATACTGGAAGAAAAGAACAAAAATGTTTTCCAGCTCAAATCTTTTGACATGCAATAGATTAAGATTTCTCGTGGCTAGAATCATGGGTTTTTACAGGAAACTGGTTCCCCTTCCCCCAGCAAATGCTACTGTTTGTGTCAGGTGCCTTGTGAGCTTTTTTGCTTCGTGCTGCTGCTTCTTTTTGCCTCTTGATTTTGTCTGATTTTTTAAATTAGCATGCGTGGCCAAAGCAACGTTGTCACCTGGATCCAGTCTTCATGTTTGCACCTAATCCCTTCCATGCTGCTGTCTGTAGGACAGACTGCACACTGCTTGGTGGAGTGGTAAAGGTCTTGATCATGGAGAAGGGAGAGGTTTCCTCTCGCACCCCAGTAGCTGGGAGGTTTGTGTCTTGTCCACAGCAGAGAATTATTGGAAAGACTTTCTCCAAAGAAGGTCTGGGTCCTTGGATGTATTCCTTGTCCTTGTAAAGGCAATCAAAAGCTTGAAAATGTGACCCACTTGTATCCAAATATCCCTCCAAGTAGAGGCTGACACAGTATTCTGAAAATTGGCTTTTCAAGCTGTGTTGATGCTTTGGGGGCTGCCCTTGGGGACCCGCTGAAGGGAGGTACCCAAGTTACTTTGCTGTTCTAAGCTTAATAAAATCTCAGCACAGAGCAGCTCTATCATGGCCGCTTTCTTGGAAGTAATAAGCATAATTACTAACTAAATGCTGTCCCATCAGTAGAGAAATCAGAAACAAGACCAACAAGACCAACTACCATATATTTTCTTGGAAAAAGGAAAGTTGTTTGCATGTTTAATGCAGGAAAACCTTGCTAAGAATGGAAAGCATATCATAAACCTTCTATAGTTGGCCAGGTATAAAGAGATATGCTGCAAACAGACTGATCACCAGCCATAAATATAATTTACTCCCCTTTCCCTCCCAGCTCTGTCCCAATTTCCATGGAGAAAATATCAGGATGTGCTGGCTGGCAGGGAGACGGGGTGCCTCTCCATCAAAAGCAGCGCAGTCACTTTTCGTATCTCCGTGGTGAAGTGCCAGAAGATGTTTCCTTTCTCTCAGCTGACATTGTGGGGCAGGCAAAGAGAGCTGAACCACTTTGCTGGGCGGCTGGACTGGCTGTTAGGCTTTGAAGTGCTCACTGCTAACAAATAACCAGCCATGCACAAAGGCAAGCCATCAGTCACACAGTCAGGAAATACCATCTAGCATTTAACTGTAATTCAGCATTTTGCAATGAGGGGAAAAAACCACAGCTGAAATGGAGTGGCAGTACATTAAAGTTTATATGGTACATTAGAGGGGCATTGGCCTGAGCTGCCCGCTCTCAGGGCAGACTTGCTTAAAAAATTGATGTCCCTTTTTTTGTTCACAATGGACATTCTCATGATGAATTGTCCGCAAAGCAGCCAGAGGTTGCTTTCACTGCATTTTGGATCTCAGACCCTAGTCCTGCACTTTGCACTACTCCCATCACATAAAAATTCGCACCAATGACCCTAACTGGTGCACCGTTTTACATCGAAGAAACACTGCATCCAAGGATCCTGATTTGCTTTTCTTACCTCTGTGAATCAGGCAGATATGCACAAAACCTGTTCAATTTATGTAGTTTTGTGGTATTTGCTGCTGTTTGAATGATCCAGTTTCTTGAGTCATTTAGTAGCCCTTGAAGCTCTGGGTCCGCCTCTCTGAAATGCAGCTTCTAACCCAGGTTCGGACCAAGGAGAACTTGCTGGCAAATGCTGGCCAGGTCCGAGCCATAAAGGCGCAGAAGCTAGACACCAGACTCCTAAATCTCACAGATTCCGTGTCCTCTCTTGGCTCACCTGAGTGCAGCACCTGGTTCTCCATGTCCATACTTGACCCAAGAAAGCTTGGGCTCGAACTGGGCATTGGCAAGGAGGGTTGTGTCAACCCCAGCAAGCAAGACTGGGGCGGAGGGAGCAAAAGAGGTGAACCCTGGCTTTCCCAGGCATTGCAAGGAAAGGCCTAAGAATATCATGGGCTGTGAGCACTGCTTCAGAAATCCCCTCTGCTTGAAACAGAAGGCCAAATTCTCCTCGTGGTGACCGACTTGTTAGAATTCGGCTCAGTTTTACTGAGGGTGGAACATTGATTTTCTTTATTTGATATAGCATCGTTATACTTTTATCTGCTGGTTGTGTACCCCAGTGATGAGTACCTTAGCAGGGTGATGGATAGAAAACACAGTGCATTCATCTAGATGTTAGATAGGGAGAAAATGTGGTGAATTAGTTCAGAGGAGAAAAAATACAGTCGATTATTTTACATAAGGCAGTGTCTGGTATTCACAATCCCTGCCCGAGAGCGACAGAACACATGAATAAAAAGATTAAAGAGTTAGGAAGTGAAATTTTTGTTAATATCAACATATGGGCAAAATGTTATGTTTCAGCTTAAGACATAAACATACGCTAGCCTTGGGAGCCCTGATGTTCAGCAAAAGACTGAGGGCAAAGGTTATCTAAGAGCATAGGCATTGTTTTTATATTGTCTCACAGCGCTGAGATTGGAAAGGTCTCTGCTGTTTTGAATCTAATCACCGCCTCCTAGAATCTGATAGATTCAGATAACATTAATTATTTGTAGCAGTATTAGCATTTCTTTTTTAAAAAGCAGTTATTTCACAAACATAAACAAAGCATAAATTGAGCCATTTCAGCACGGATGAAAACACCATTTAAAGCTTCATTTCCCAGCCTTATATCTTGGAGGCAGAGTGTATTTGATTAGATCCTTCCCGCGGGTGAGATCAGTCTGAGTGACAACTATCTATGCCAGATCGACGCTCTGTTTATTTGCATTTCCCACCAGCTCTGGGAGTTTGCACTTTCTCCTTCCTGAAATACATCTTGATGGGGCAGCATTAGACAAATCATTTTAATTATAGTAAAGGACTGGAGGCTTTTCCGAAGGTCAGGGTCTCTGTGCCGACAGGTTTGATTAAAGCCAGACACGGGTAAAGAGGCTGGAGTTAGCCGGAGAGCGGTGAGTCTGGGGCAGGAGGGAGAGGGACGGCGGGTAGAGATTGTCTCACCTCCGCGACCCCCTGACGTGTCCGTCTTCCCGGTGGTGACGAGCCAGGACCGTGTGGCAATGAGAAACGTTAAGAGCATTTCTGCTTACACCACAGCAGGGATGTCAAACTGACACTGTGCATCGTAGGGACACTCGGAGGTTGAGAATAATCGGCTAAAATTCCTGCCTGCTTCTTCCCCGCCCCGGTCAGAGCTGCCATATCCTCCACGGCAGTAGGCAGCTGATTTGCAGCAGTTGGGACCTGCTGCCCTTCCATGATGCCAGGCTGGTCAGTGAGGAAATTCAGGAGAAGTGTTGGTCCAAATCTGCGTCGTGGTGTGACTTCTTTTGGCAAGGAGCTGCCCGCCGTGCACTGCCAGGCAGGAGGACTGGAAGAGGGAGCTGGCAAGTGCCTGGTCGAGGTCCGGCTTGGCAACGTGGGCACCGAGCTGCTGAAACAAAACCAATAGCGTCCTTACCAGTACTGCCAGGCTCCTTCCTGCTGCTTCTCATGCAGGCATGGGTGGAGATAGCTCTTGCATTATTTGAAAAGAGAAAGCAGTCTGGTTTTTCAGACCTTCACTGGAATAAACTGGTTTAGTTCCAGTAGGTAAATGAAATTACACTGGTGTTTACCAGCAGGAAATCTAATCTCATGCTTATAGCAAGACAAGATATTCTCCCTTTAAAAACTTCTTAGCTTTTGACTTTCAGTTTCCACTTAGCTATTTTCTTTTTATATACTTTTGTCTTCTTAGATTCCCTTATGCTCATCCAAACATCATCTTGATGTCTATTTTTGGAGCATGTTTTCCTTCCAAATCAAACACCTGTCACGTGAGAATGGGTCCCACTGGTAAGTGTGTGGGTGTGGGAGCACAGCACTGAATCATGATTAAGTCTTTTGAGTTTGTTGAGTCTCCTTCACCAAAAAGCCTTCCCACGTGAAGGATGTGGTGCTCTGTCCCCTAGACCTGTGTGACCGATGAGTCACACACATCTAATTTTGCTTTCCAACAATGGCTATCAGTCAGGGTACTGCGTCCTGTGATTCTTCAAAATTGAAATCCTTGTGCGGTTGCACCAAGGTCTTCTGCAGAAAGCAAGTCTTGGGCTGTCTTTCTGGTGGTTTTTTTCTTTATTTTCCTAATTTATTCTGCTTAAAGGAGCCACGTGGTGATAATCAGACGGTGTACTGCTGACCTCACGGAGTTCAGCAACCATCTGTTTAAAACGGAGATGTAAAGAATTTCCAGAGAAGCCTTTTATTATTCTCTTGGTTCAAGAGAAGAACAGGAGGAGTCCTCAGCATGGACAGCAGTTTTACAGCACTAACAAATTCCACAGCTAACAGGAAAACAATCAATTTATCACCCAAGGCCGCTGCTTTCTCTGCGTGGAGCCTGGAGGTTTGCTGTGGTTTGGAACGATAGGCCATCAGTTTTAGTTAGATTCATTTTCCCAGCTTTTTCCAACTTTGTAGTTGAAAACAAAGTCTCCCCTTCAGCTTCATTCTCTTTCTGCAGCCAAGACTTGCATCTGCAGGCAGAGCAGAAAGCAGGGGTTTTGTTTGAACAAGCTCAGGCCTGGTCAGGATTTTGTCTGGTACAAACCAGGGCCTTGATCCTGCACTGAGACGTCCTGGGAAGATCCTTGTCCTGGCACGGAGCCCCACCAGAACCATCCGCCCTCCTTATGGGCTCCGCGCAGCCAGCCAGTGCCTGAGATTTATGATGGATGGCTGGAGTCTACCGACATCATGGGACATATTAGCATAAATTGTGCATAAATAGTTGCATAAATCAGCAGAGGACTTTGTTTTTCAGCTAAATAATCTCCCTCCTGGGCCTTTCTGTATTTCCTTTAGAGTCCCCTCAAAGGTGAGCATGATCATCCCCTCGACCGCTCTGCGGTCTGATCCTGGCAGGCTCCAATAGCAAAACCATGCTGGGTAAAACGGTCAGGGAGCTGACACCAGAGGTTTAATTGTTTCTCACAGCATGTCTAAACCTGGTATTAATCATTTGTTAGTAGGTAAGGAGTGTTCCTCGTACACTGCATCAGTACTTCAGAGAAATTCACTGAAGTTCCAGTGATGGTGTTTAGTTTTGCCCCATAAAGGAGGGATATTTAAGAAGTGCAGCTGCTGCTTTTTTTGGCAAGATATAAAATGTGCAGATATGTAAAACATATAAAAGCCTGAGCCTGAAGGTCTTTGCAAATGCAAGTAGAAAAATATTTAATTTCCATTTTAACCTTGAGCTGTGGTTGCTCTCTGTGCTTTTCACATTGGCTTTAAACTGGAGAACGAAGAACAAAAACCTTCAAAAGCAGTGACTTGGGTAGGTGGCAATTTCAGCACATGATAGTCTTGGGAAGTGTTTTCCATTGCAGAGCCGAGCATTTCTCTTGAAAAACACTCCTTAAGCAGTCCCTGCTCCCACAGGGGCAAACTAGTCCATGTCCTGGGCAAACCAGTCCGTGTCCTGGGCAACCCAGTCCATGTCCTGGGCAAACCAGTCCGTGTCCTGGGCAGGACCGCTCTTGCTGCTGGTAGTATCTCTAAGTTTGTGTCTTTGCAATCTGCTGCCGGAGTCTGGACATGTTGCTGCTTTCCGTATCTCTGGCAGCACTAATCAAAAGCACAATATGGTCTGAGAATTTCACTTCATACCAGGGAATTAGCCAGCAGGAGAGAAAGCTGATAATCTGCACCGTGCAAGTTCTCACCTCCTGCAGCACCTTGCAGTGAGTCACTTGGAAATGGCTTTTGCTGAGCTGCCACGCTTTGCTGAGACGTTATTTCCTATCAGAAATGTTCAGAGCTCGAAGCCTGCGTGAACAGGCAGCTTTCAGCAGAGGGGACCTCAGCTCGGTGACAGCAAGGAAGCACTCGGATCACACGAGAGCGTGACTCAGGCCATGGTGGCAAGGACGTAGTGGGGAAAATGGCACTAAATATTTGCACAAATAAACTCAATTCCAGGTTACGGTCAGTGCTTTTTCCAGAATTCGGGACTCAGACTGTCTAACCAAAACAGCAGCCCTGTACAGTTCAACCCTTTTGGCTCTTTACTTTTATTCTCCTTTTCTGAAAAAAATTGAAGCCCCATAAAATTTCCAAGTGTGGAGGATGTATCCCTCAAATGTTCTCAGGAGAACCAGGCCCAGGCAGAGAGATGAGCGATGGGGAATTAGAAATTAAAAGCCTGAGTGTGAATATGAAGAGGGATCTGAAAGTTCTTTACTTAAATACATAGAAAAATTCACAAACCAGGTTTCTTTTTAGGAAGCTGGGGATTACTGATTTATTACTGCAGTGTGCACTTCACTCTCTAGGAGGTATTCAGTATGAAAATTTGCAGGGATATGGCAGGACTTTCTGCCACTAAGTGGAGGAGCTTTAAAGAAAATGACATTTCTATCAGGTTTTTGACTGATCAGCACTAAAAGCTTTTTTTTTTTCCCTGTCTTTTGTGGATGGCTGATTATATTTGGGTGGCCAGGCTCCAGCTCCATCAGACCACTGTCTGGGAGGTGAGAAGGGGGGGTATTCAATATGCAGCTAAAATGCATGTGTGTTTTGGGTTTAATGACAACAACTTAAAATTTTTGGAGTGTGTTTCTCTTCTAAGATTCTTCTGATCTCAGCCATTGAGTTTATCTTCATAAACCACAAGGAAAATGGAAAAATAATGTCCTTGTCTCAGGAAGGAACTTGTTCAAATTTGTAAGTTTGAGTAATATTTGTAATATATATTACTTTCTTCTTGTTATTACCAAATATGACATTAACAGATCTTCTGCAAAGCTATCCG